GTGTGTGCGGTGGTGGTGAAATGTAGCTCTCTCAATAAGTCAGAATGGAAAACCAGCAAAACCAGGGAGGAGAAGATGTAAGTATACTTTTATTCAATAATTAAAATAACGGACTTGGTGAACCAGTTATTACGCACAATGTTGTGGATTAAACCTGTGACTAATCAACATGAAGTAATTATTTGTTTTGAGGTGGGTCATTCCATGGGGGTTCGACATACTTTTGCAAGTGATCTCTCCGATTTCGATGAAACTTTGCGAGCTTGTTGGCTATGGTCTGAAACCCCCCAAAACCAATTTTGAGCAAAAAATACCAATTTTTGAAAAAGTTATGGCTTGCGTTAGAAATTTTGATTTTCGTTGCAGACCTTTTTTGAAAACGCTGTAGTTTCTTCCAAAATGAAGCTACAGAGCTCATTCTGGGCGCATTCGAAAGGTATTGAATTGGACTTTAAGCCTTTTGCAACATTTTGACAAAAATTTTCAAATTTGACAAAAATTGAACAAAGTCAAAATTTTGAACACAATTTTCTCAAAAGTAGTATTTTTGATATTTTTTCTTTTTTGATATGTTATAGTCCATAGTTAAGTCTAGCAACCCTCAAAATTTGGTTGGAAAAAATTCATAAACAAGGAAGAAAAACGGTTTTTAGTGTTGCGATTCGGCAAATTTTCGCTAGTTGGAGTGGTGTGAAGAAGAGCATGATGCATATTTTGAGACCGCAGGTTCTCGATCTTGAACTTGTAGTGTCACTCGGAACAGTTATTTGGGGTGCTGAACCTACAAATAAGGTCAATTTTCGTTTTCGAAATTCCAGGGGCGGATCAAGAGGGGTGACTTTTCAAAAAAATCATGATTTTTGGATGTTGCAACGCGATTTCTATTTTTTCAGGGGCGGAGATAACGAATCTTGAACGGTGTTGGATGCAAGTAAGCTCTAAAGCTGACCCAACGTATCGTCAAAACAAAAAATGTGCAAATAGATGATCAAAAGCCCCTAATGTGAACATCTTTGGCCATTGCAAAAAGTTAAGCCAGCGTTGTTACCTGCACCCCTGTAAACATAAGAATTAACATGCGACATCCAAACATCTCGATTTGGAAAAGTAACCCTCATTGACGCACCCTGTTATTGAGCTTACCAGGGGCGGATCAAGAGGGTCGACTTTTTAAAAAATCAGGATTTTTGGATGTTGCATATCGTTTTTTATATTTTTGGGAGCGGAGACAACTAATCTTGAATCATCTTGAATGCAAGTTAGCTCCAAAGCTAATCCAACGTATTGTCAAAACATCCAAACTTGGATAAGTCACTCCCTTTGGCTCACCTCGCCCCTGGCAAACAACGGGGTGCGTCAATGGGGGGACTTTTCCGAATTCGAGATGTTTGGATGTCGAAGTTGATTCTTATGTTAACAGGGGTGTAGGTAACAACACTACCTTTACTTTTTGCAATGGGCCAAAGATGTTCACATTTGGGGGCTTTTTGATCATCTATTTGCACATTTTAATGTTTTGACGATACGTTAGATCAGCTTTAAAGCTAACTTGTATCCAATACCGTTCAAGATTCGTTATCTCCGCCCCTGAAAACATAGAAATCGCGTTGCAACATTGAAAAATCCTGATTTTTGAAAAGTCACCCCTCTTGATCCGCCCCTGAGAATTTCGAAAACGAAAATTGACCTTATTTGTAGGTTCAGCACCCCAAATAACTGTTCCGAGTGACACTACAAGTTCAAGATCGAGAACCTGTGGTCTCAAATATTCATCATGCTCCTCTCCACACCACTCCAACTAGCGAAAATTTGCCGAATCGCAACACTAAAAACCGTTTTTCTTCCTTGTTTATGAATTTTTTCCAACCAAATTTTGAGGGTTGCTAGACTTAACTATGGACTTTAACATATCAAAAAAGAAAAAATATCAAAAATACTACTTTTGAGTAAATTGTGTTCAAAATTTTGACTTTGTTCAATTTTTGTCAAATTTGAAAATTTTTGTCAAAATGTTGCAAAAGGCTTAAAGTCCAATTCAATACCTTTCGAATGCGCCCAGAATGAGCTCTGCAGCTTCATTTTGGAAGAAACTACAGCGTTTTCAAAAAAGGTCTGCAACGAAAATCAAAATTTCTAACGCAAGCCATAACTTTTTCAAAAATCGGTATTTTTTGCTCAAAATTGGTTTTGGGGGGTTTCAGACCATAGCCAACAAGCTCGCAAAGTTTCATCGAAATCGGAGAGATCACTTGCAAAAGTATGTCGAACCCCCATGGAATGACCCAGGTTATGGACCCCTTGGGTTCGGAGTGAAGACGCTTTTAGCATCGTCAGAAAACAGTACTGAGGAGCAGAAGACACTAGATTTGTACATAGCAATACAGAAATGTTGTATTGCCATCTGATTTTGACTCAAGTTTAACAGTGTGACTGTGTTTTGTTGTTCAGACCCTGTTTCAGTTCTGACGGTCTTGTCTCCATGCTGTCAATTCATGTGAATATCTTGTGTCAATTTTATGTCATTTTGCAGGTGGTGAGTAGATCTTTCTGTAGGAAAGTTGCTCGCAATGTTGCTGCTAGAGTAGCAAAGCGGCAGCGCCTCGATGACATTCGGCAGAGATTTGGTGATGGGCAACAAAGTGATGCAGACGATGAAGATTCAGATGAGGTGGAGGAATTTAATGCAAACCAGGGCCAGGACGGTCCTGTTGTTCATCATGATGCTGGTGTGGTTGATGGCAGTGAAGATGTTGAGGACCAGAACCGTCTTGCTGTTGACCATGTTGGTGGTGTGTTTGATGGCGGTGAAGATGTTGAAGTCCAGGATGGTGGTCTTGTTGACGATGTTGGTGGTGATGGTTGTTCTAGACTCTTCTTGTGTCTGAATTAACTGTTTTAGCGTGGATTGGTTTGGATAAGGAACACAAGTACACGAGACGAAGTCAGGGAAAGAACACTGAGGCATACAGGACATGAGCCCCGTCCCGTTTGAGCCCCGATGGTCTGAGCCCCGACCTGAGCCCCAACCTGAGCCCGGATTGAGCCCCGACTTGAGCCCCGACCCAAGCCCCAATTTCCAGAGCCCGGATTGAGCCCCGACCTGAGCCCCGTTTGAGCCCCGTTTGAGCCCCACTCGAGCCCCATTTGAGCCCCGCGACCTGGAATTACGCATTTTTGCATAATTTATTGCTATGGGGCCCAAGTGGGCTCATGTGGGGCTTAAGTGGGGCTCAAACGGGGCTCAGGTCGGGGCTCAATCCGGGCTCTGGAAATTGGGGCTTGGGTCGGGGCTCAAGTCGGGGCTCAACCCCGGGGTCAGGTTGGGGCTCAGGTCGGGGCTCAGACCATCGGGGCTCAAACGGGACGGGGCTCATGTCTGTATGCCAACACTGAGAATCCAAACGCTATGAGTA